AAAAAGGAAGTGTACTGCACATTGCATTTCCAAACACCTTTCTTATAGTTTGCTCTCTCCTTCATATTTTGCCTACCTTTCTTCTGTTGCCTCTAACCCAATTCCCAGGTMTGTGTCARAAGYTCTTAATATTCCAGAATGGAGGGATGCTATGAGAACAGAAATTGATGCCCTACACAAGAATGACACTTGGGAAGTGGTTGATTTGCCTGAAGGGAATGATCCAGTAGGTTGTAAGTGGATCTTTACTATCAAATATCATGTTGATGGCACCATTGAAAGGTACAAGGTTACGCTGGTTGCAAAAGGCTATACACAGGCATATGGGATTGATTATCTGGAGACCTTTGCCCTTGTTGCCAAGATGACTTCTATGAGAGTTCTTCTATCTTTGGCTGCACACTCAGACTGGCCACTTTATCAACTGGACGTAAAGATTGCATTTCTGAATGGAGAATTACATGAGGAGGTTTATATGTCTCTTCCTCCAGGGATGTATGAAACAGATATGAAAGGAAAGGTCTGCAGGCTGAAGARATCTCTTTATGGACTCAAACAGTCCCCTAGAGCATGGTTTGAAAGGTTTAGGGCTGCCCTTGTCAGCTTTGGCTATGTACAGACACAGTCTAATCATACACTCTTTGTGAAGAGGAGAGGATTCTTGGTTGTTTACCTGATTGTGTATGTTGATGATATTGTTGACTGGTAATGATGTCTCGGGAATTAATGATCTCAAATCTTTCCTTCATACATAGTTTGAGATCAAAGATCTAGGGGAATTGAGATACTTTCTTGGCATAGAAGTTGCTAGATCCAAGGATGGGCTTCTTATTTCTCAAAGGAAGTATGTTCTCAATTTGCTCTCTGAAACAGGAAAGATGGATGCTAGACCAGTTGCTACTCCTATTGATATGAGCCATAAACTCTCTGCTTCAGATGGAATATTGTTAGAAGACAAGGGAGTCTTCCAGAGACTACTTGGAAAACTTCTTTATCTATGCATGACTCAGCCAGACATTGCATACGCTGTCAATTGCATCAGTCAGTTCATGCATGCTCCCAGGGATACTCATATGGCAGCAGCAGAGCGGATTTTGTGTTATTTGAAGGGCT